TGATTCCACTTCTGGGTATATATTCAAAGAAACCCCAAACACGAATTTAAAAAGATTTATGCAATCCTATGTTCACTGCAGTGTTATTTACAATAGCTAAGACATGGAAGCAACCCAAATGCCCAGCAAAAGAGGAGTGGATAAAAAAGTTGTGGTAACCCTGGCCGGTTGCTCAGTGGTTAGAGCATTGGCCCTCAGACCAAAGGGTTGCAGGTTCAATTCCCGACCCCCGTCTGGACTCATGTGGGAGGCAACCAACTGATGTATCTCTCACATGTCAATGTTTCTCTTTCTTTCCCCCACCTCCCCCACTTCTATTTTCTCTAAAAATCAATGGAAAAAATATTCTTCAGTGAGGGTTAAAAAAAAAAAAGCTGTGGTACATATATAAAATGGAATTTACTAAACCATAAAAAAGAAGGAAATCTTGACATTTGCAACATAATGGATGGATCTAGAGCAGTGATGGCGAACCTTTTGAGCTTGGCGTGTCAGCATTTTGAAAAACCCTAATTTAACTTTGGTGCCGTGTCACATATAGAAATTTTTTGATATTATCAACCATAGTAAACATAATTGTTTTATTGCTTAAAGTCTTACAAGGGGTATTACATATGTCTCCTTTTTTCCCCCGTCCTTGACAATCCCCTGGCCTCCCCTACCCCGCAGTGTCTTATGTCCATTGGTTATGCTTATATGCATGCATACAAGTCCTTCGGTTGATCTCTTAACCACCCCCCCCTCCAGCCGCCCCCCACCCTCCTCGGCCTTCCCACTGTAGTTTGACAGTCTGTTAGAGGCAGCTCTGCCCCTGTATCTATTTTTGTTCATAAGTTTATAATGGTCTTTATTATCCATGAATGAGTGAGATCATGTGGTAGTTTTCCTTCATTGACTGGCTTATTTCACTTAGCATAATGCTCTCCAGTTCCATCCATGCCATTGCAAACGGTAAGAGTTCCTTCTTTTTTACAGCAGCGTAGTATTCCATCCTGTAGATGTACCACAGTTTTCTAATCCATTCATCTACTGATGGGCACTTAGGCTGTTTCCAGATCTTAGCTATGGTGAATTGTGCTGCTATGAACATATGGTGCATATATCCTTTCTGATTGGTGCTTCTGGTTTCTTGGGATATATTTCCGGAAGTTGGATCACAGGGTCAAATGGGAGTTCCATTTTCAGTTTTTTGAGGAAACTCCATACTGTCTCCATAGTGGCTGCACCAGTCTGCATTCCCACCAGCAGTGCACGAGTGTTCCTTTTTCTCCACATCCTCTCCAGCACTTGTCATTTGTTGATTTGTTGATGATAGCCAGTCTGACAGGTGTGAGATGGTACCTCATTGTTGTTTTGATTTGCATCTCTCGGATGATTAGTGACTTTGAGCATGTTTTCATATGTCTCTTGGCTTTCTGAATGTCCTCTTTTGAAAGGTGTCTATTTAGGTCCTTTGCCCATTTTTTGATTGGATTGTTTATCTTCCTTTTGTTAAGTTGTATGAGTTCCCTATAAATTTTGGAGATTAGGCCCTTATCAGATATGACATTGGCAAATATGTTTTCCCACACAGTGGGTTTTCTTGTTGCTTTGTTGATGGTTTCTTTTGCTGTGCAGAAGCTTTTTATTTTGATGTAGTCCCATTTGTTCATTCTCTCTTTAGTTTCAAGTGCCCTAGGAGCTGTATCAGTGAAGAAATTGCTTCGGCATATGTCTGAAATTTTGTTACCTATGGATTCTTCTAGTATTTTTATGGTTTTCCATCGTACATTTAAGTCCTTTATCCATTTTGAGTTTATTTTTGTGTATGGTGTAAGTTGGTGGTCTAATTTCATTTTCTTGCATGTATCTGTCCAATTTTTCCAACACCATTTATTGAAGAGACTATTTTGACTCCACTGTATGTTCTTGCCTCCTTTGTCAAATATTAATTGAGCATATTGGTTCGGGCCAATTTCTGGGCTCTCTATTCTATTCCATTGATCTATATGTCTGTTCTTGTGCCAGTACCAGGCAGTTTTGAGAACAGTGGCTTTGTAATACAGCTTGATATCTGGTATTGAGATCCCACCTACTTTGTTCTTTCTCAGGATTGCTGCAGCTATTCGGGGTCTTTTTTTATTCCAGATGAATTTTTGGAGAGTTCGTTCTAGATCTGTGAAATATGCCATTGGTATTTTAATGGGAAGTGCGTTGAATATATAGATTGCTTTGGGTAGTATGGACATTTTAATGATGTTGATTCTACCAATCCATGAACACGGTATGCTCTTCCATCTGTTTATGTCTTCCTCTATCTCTTTTTTCAACGTCCTGTAGTTTTCTGAGTAGAGGTCTTTTACCTCTTTAGTTAAGTTTATTCCTAGGTAGCTTAATTTTTTTGGTGCGATGGTAAATGGGATTTTTTTTTTAGTCTCTCTTTCTGTAAGTTCACTATTGGTGTATAGAAATGCCTTAGATTTCTTGGGGTTAATTTTGTATCCTGCTACATTGCCAAATTCATGTATTAAGTCTAGTAGTTTTTTGATGGAAGACTTATATTTTTGATATTTATTTTATATATTTAAATGCCATTTAACAAAGAAAAATCAACCAAAAAAATGAGTTCGCGTGTCACCTCTGACACGCGTGTCATAGGTTTGTCATCACTGATCTAGAGGGTATTATGCTAAGTGAAAGAAGTCAGACAGAGAGAGACAAGTATCATCTGATTTCACTTTCATGTGGAATCTAAAGAATAAAATGAAAAAAACAAACCCAAAAACAGAAACAGATTCATAGATACAGAGAACAAACTGATGGTTGCCAGAGTGCAGAGGGGAGAGGTGAGAGGGGTTGGGGTTATGGATGAAAAGGGTGAAGGGATTAAGGAGTACATATTGGCAGTCCCCAAATAGCCATGGGAACGTAAAGTACAGCATAGGAAATATAGTCAATAATATTGTCATACTATGTATAATGCCAGGTGGGTACTTGAAATGGGGCGGGGCGGGGGAGAGATCATCTTGTAAATTATATGATTGTCAGCCACTATGTTATACACCTAAAACTAAAGTAAAATAATATTGCATGTCAACTATAATTGAAAAATAAAATTTAAAAATTTAAAAAATATATGTGTTAAACACAAATAATCTTTACAGATTATAATTAACATCTCATATTGCTCATTTTTCTCTATAAAATCAGAATCGACCAACCATTTAAATATTTACTGAACACTGTCCAAATGGTGTGACACAGTGGTTGAATGTTGATCCATGCATCAAGAAGTCACAGGTTGCCGAAACCGGTTTGGCTCTGTGGATAGAGCGTCGGCCTGCGGACTGAAAGGTCCCAGGTTCGATTCCGGTCAAGGGCATGTACCTGGGTTGCGGGCATATCCCCAGTAGGAGATGTGCAGGAGGCAGCTGATCGATGTTTCTCTCTCATCGATGTTTCTAACTCTCTATCTCTCTCCCTTCCTCTCTGTAAAAAATCAATAAAATATATTAAAAAAAAAAAGGAAGCCACAGGCTCAAGTCCCAGTCAGGACACATGCACAGGTTGTGGACTTGATCCCCGGCGGGAGCTGTGCAGGAGGCAGCTGATTGATGTTTCTCTCTCATCAATGTTTCTATCTCTCTCTCTCCCTCTCCCTTCCTTTCTCTCTAAAATCAATAATAAAACATATTTAATAATAGCCCTGGGCAGTGTGCTCAGTGGTTAGAGCATCAGCCTGAACACCAAAGGGTTGCAGGTTTGATTTCCAGTCAAGGACACATTCTGGGTCTTGGGTTCACTCCCTGCCCCTCCCCCTGTTGGGGTGCATGCAGGAGGCAACCAATCGATGTGTCTCTCTCACATTGATGTTTCTCTCTCTCTTTTTCCTTCTTTCCCTCCCTCCCTGCCTCTCTCTTCCACTCTCTCTGAAAAAGCAATGGGAAAAATATCCTCAGGTGGGGATGAACAAAATACATACATACATACATACATACATACATACATAAATTTATTGAATACCTATTATGTGCCAAGGTACTATGCTAGGCACTGGAGAGACAGCAGTTTTTCCATTGTAAAGTTCACCAGCTAGTGAGAATAACAGATTAATCAAATGTACATGGAATATAACTGCTATGAAGGCACAAACTAGGAAGAAAATCAGGAAGGATGAGAAGTGACTGTGTGCTGGGAGTGGCAGGGAGGGAAGAGTATTTTGGATAGATGAACGGCATGTGCAGTAGTCCTCCGGCAGGAAGGAGCAGGATGTGTCTGCAGAAAGGAAAAGTTAATATGGCTGGAAATGAGAACAAGGGGGCATGGTGTAAAAGGATGATGCTGGCAGAGCCAACTGCACAGAGTCCTACAGGCTGAGCTAAGGATTATAGTCTTTATCCTAAAGCAATGGCGCCCTGGTCCATGGCTCAATGGTTAGAGCTTTGCCCCAAGCACTGAAGGGTCACAGGGTTCAATTCCTGGTCAAGGGCATGTATCTGGGTTGCAGGTTTGATCCCAGGCCCCAGTTGGAGCATGTTCAGGAGGCAACCAATTGATGTGTCTCTCTCATATCAATGTTTCAAAACAAATAAACGAAATGGAAAATTTGAAGCAGGTTACTGCAGTGTGAGGAACAGATCTGGAGGGATGGGGAGGGAGAATAGAATAGATTCAGTTATGAGGCTATTACAGCAGTTCAAGCAAGAGATAATAGTCACTTGATCATGACAGTGGTGGTGGAGATGAAGAGAAAAGGTCAGATCTGAGATTCAGTAGGAATTCAAATGGACAGGGTCTGCTGATAGATTTCATGCTGGAAAGGAGAAGTTTCCCAAAGTTTCCAGCTTAGAAAACTGGATAGATGACAGTATCACTACAGAGAAAGGGAACCTGGAGGAGGGCCAGGTTTTTAAAGGAAAGACCATGAGTTCAATATATTAGATATGTCCATGAATTATGGAGATTTGCTACTTTAGTCCCGGAGGGCAAGAAGAAAGGCAGAAAGAAGAAGGAAGTTTTACCTTGATATCAGCTCTGAGCTCAACCAACTGCTCTTCTGACATTCGAACAGCCACATCAGTCATCTTCTTTAGAAGTTCAGCTTTCTTTTGTCGGCTGAGCAAAATTTCCACTGTAGAGGAAAAAGAAGTATAACTCTATGTTCTGGCTCAAAAGGATAAAGAACTGGAAATACAGGCCTTGCTGTATGTATTTGGAGAGCCAAAGGTCCAGTTTCCACCTTCTTGAAGGACTCTAAAGGCAGTTACAGGTAAAGACTTCATGAAATAAAAGACACATAAATCATCTGTCATTTCTCTTTTTCCCCTTCTCAGGAAAATACATTTTTTATCAAGAAATATAAGTTAACGCCCTGGCTGGTATGGCTCAGTTGGTTGGGTGTTGTCCCATGCACCGAAAGGTTGCCAGTTCAGTTCCCAGTCAGGGCACATGCCCAGGTTGTGGGTTCAGTCCCAGGTGGGGGTCATACAGGAGGCAGCCTTTCGATGTTTTGTTCTCACATTGATGTTTCTCTTCCTCTCCCTTCCTCTCTCTCTAAAATCAATTTAAAAAACTTTTAAAAGAATCATATAAGTTAAAAAAGAATATGCACACATGCTAAAAAAGACTTACCTAGAATAAAGAGCATGAAATGAAAAGTTAAAGTGTCTCTCCTACTTCTGACTTTGTGGTCCACTCCCCAGAGGAAACCAGTTTATTTCTTCTGTATACTTCCAAATATATTCTATGCATATATAACAAATATCTCTCTTCCTTTTTTCTTCTCCTCACTCATGCGAGTGTATCATATACATGGTCCTCCCATTACCTTAGCTATTTTTTAAAAAATAGTTCATGGAAAACTACTTTTTAAAGATATTTTTAAAAATTGATTTCAGAAAGGGAGGGAGGGAGAGATAGAAATATCAATGAGGAGAGAGAGTCATTGATTGGCTGCCTCCTGCATGCTCCCTACTGGGGATCGAGCCCACAACCCAGGCATGTGCCCTTGACCGGAACTGAACCGGGACTCTTCAGTCCGCAGGCTGATGTTCTATCCACTGAGCCAAACCGGCTAGGGCTACCTTAGCTATTTTTATTTAATATATCGTGAGGTTCAATTCCTATTAATACACTGGATCTCCCTCACTGTTTAACAGCCACTTAGTAGTCTGATATGTGGAATACCATAATAATTTATCAAGTTTCCCTAATGATGGATATTTAGGCTGTTTACAGCCTGTTAAGAAACATCTTTAGCATGCTCCCAGATGTGTAACTCAAATATGACTGAGAAGGACAACAAACAAACTAAAAACCTCTCACAGTAGAGAACAGAGACAACAGAGGGCACGGGCAAAAAATAGTCCTCTAAAAGCAGAACCTGGGGCTGCTAGATAAATCAAGGAAACTTCTCTTCCACCAGGGCAGGGACTCTGCTATTCCCGTCCAGTAAGGTTTGATTACTGCTTTTCCAAATGGGAATTTTTACTATAATTCTTACTATAATTATTTCTCTATCAGTATAATATTGGAGGAGGGGGCATTTAATTTTTGTTTTAGTTTATGGGGCTCCACATAGCAGTGTGCCATATCCAGACCTGCTAAAAGATCTGAAATTCCCCAGAAGTCCTGAACTTTCAGCTGAGTATACTAAAACTAGATGACGAGGTGAGTGTATTCTCATTTGGGGAAAAAGAGAGATATTGGAGGATGGACTATAGCAAAGACTGTTAATGACTTCATATTCATTCTCCTGTTCTTCCTGCCAGAAGTCCAATATTGTTGGGTATAAACTATTTAGGCAAAATTCTGTATTTCCTGACCCTGCTACAGACAAGACAGTCATGTGATACAGTCTGGCCACTGAGATCTAAGCAGAACTCACAGGGCGAGGTTCACAGGAAAGCTCTTTAAAGGAGTCTCAGGCAACATGTAACATTTTGCCCTTTCCTGACGGGAGCCTCTTTGACCATAAACATACACTAAGAATGTCTGGGTAGAACAGCGGTTCTCAACCTGTGGGTTGCAACCCCTTTGGGAGTCGAATGACCCTTTCACAGGGGTTGCCTAAGTCCATCAGAAAACATATATAATTACATATTGTTTTTGTGATTAATCACTATGCTTTAATTATGTTCAATTTGTAACAATGAAAATACATCCTGTATATCAGATATTTACATTACGATTCATAACAGTAGCAAAATTACAGTTTTGAAGTAGCAACGAAAATAATTTTATGGTTGGGGGTCACCACAACATGAGGAACTGTATTAAAGGGTCGCGGCATTAGGAAGGTTGAGCACCACTGGGGTAGAAGGATAGAGAAAGCTGGGTCTCCCATGTCATTTTGGAGATTCCCTTCAACGCTGGATCACCTTTCATTTCACAAGAGAAAAATAAACTCACATTTATTTAGGCCACTCTGTTAACATGTAATCAAACTCAATTACCAACTGTTATACACAGAATCCTGTAATCTATTGAGAATTAGCCAAATTTATCTTAGAAAAAATAGAATTTTCAAAGAGGTACATCAGGTATTACAGCAGGCTGAACCACTTTAGCAAGTTTTCTTAACCTGCTTGACATATATATGCCACCCCCAGGTTGCCCATACCCATGTCAGGTTAATCTGTAAGGACATACTTTCCCAATAAAGTAGAAACCTGCCTACAAACACCAAGGACCAACAGCTACAAATGATCTATTGGTCTGGCTCTCAAGATAAGAACTTGCTGTTTGTATCAAATTCACTTTTTCTCAGCTCCAGATTCTAGGATTCTAAAATGGAGAAAACATGTTGAGTAAAGATTTCTACACATGTCAGATTAACTCAGAGAACCTAATTATATGACTTTGAACAAGTCACATTTTTTCCAAATAACTAGTTTTTTCACTTATGAAATGGAAAAAAGAAAAGGAAACCCTATCTCATAAAGTTTACATGAAGATGATATAGCAGTAACAAAACTCTGAATTGTAAAGTACTATGAACATATGAATTAATAAAACTATGTAGTGTACTTTAAAAAAGCAGCACCTTATTGGTAGTATTGGTAAATGAGTAATTACATTAGTGTCTCTGAGGACCAGAATTTTTAGCATGGGAGAAAGGAGACACAGATATAAAATTGATGAAGTTCAGTAAAACTATAGCTCTGAATTTGATAAAATAAGATTCATGAATTGGTAACTGGTTGAAGCTGGGCGGTGGGGATTAATTATATTAGCCTCTCTATTTCAAATAGTAAGGACTATGTGTTCTTATTAGATTTATGTTATCTGAACCTTCATCTTAAAAAAAGAACACAGGCTTATTAATGGACTAAAACTGTCACATTTAGAAATTTCAGGATATATCACTCAATTTAAATGAAATCTTACCTCTGAAAAATAGTGACTAACATCTCTGCTATATATTGAACTTTTCAGGTTAAAATGGATAAAAATTAAATTCAGCTCAGTGCTTCAAAGTTGCCTCCTCTGGTCCCTGACCACTGACACATATGATTTAATTGTGAGTCATCATCTTAACCTATTTCCATTCTTACCAGTTTAAAAGCAGGTTAAAACAACCTTTGCCCAACAGGCATGGCTCAGTGGTTGAGCGTCGACCTATGAACCAGGAGGTCACGGTTTGATTCCTGGTCAGGGCACATACCTGGGTTTTGGGCTCAATCCCCAGTGGGGGGTGTGTAGGAGGCAGCTAATCAATGATTCTCTCTCATTATTGATAGTTTCTAACTCTCACTCCCTCTCCCTTCCTCTCTGAAATCAATAAAAATATATTAAAAAAACAAAACATTATTTTTATTTATTTTTTATTCTCACACGAGGATATTTTTCCATTGATTTCTAGAGAGAGTGGAAGGGAGGGAGGAGAGAGACAGAGAGAAACATCAATATGAGAGAGACACATTGACTGGTTGCTTCATGCATGTGCCCCTACCGGGGCTAGGGAGCCTGCAAATCGAAGTACATACATGCCCTTGACCAGGAATCAAACTCATAACCCTTTGGTCCATGGGCCAAACTCTAACCATTGAGCAACTGGCCAGGGTAAGAAACAACCTTCTTAATTACAAATTTGTCATTTGATCATGAAAGTAAAATCTGCTGCTGAAAAGCCCCAAAGTAATGCCACTGTATAAGCTGCAGTTGACTTTCATACAGCTGTATATTTTTAAATTACACTTACAGAAATTACCAAAAACAGGTATTTGATTCTTCTGTATAAAACCCCACAAATTACCCAAGTTAGACTATTCCTCCAGAATCTATTTTTTTTATTAATTAAATCTTTATTGTTCAGATTATTACATTTGTTCCTCTTTTTCCCCCCCATAACTCCCCTCCACCCAGTTCCTACTCCACACTCCTCCCTCACTCCCCACCCACTGTCCTCATCCATAGGTGCATGATTTTTGTCCAGTCTCTTCCCGCATCTCCCTCACTCCGTGCCCCCCCCCCCCAAGAATAGTCAGTCCACTCCCTTTCTATGCCCCTGATTCTATTACAATCACCAGTTCATTCTGTTCATCAGATTATTCACTTGATTTTCAGATTCACTTGTTGATAGATGTGTATTTGTTGTTCATAATTTGTATCTTTACCTTTTTCTTCTTCTTCCTCTTCTTAAAGGATACCTTTCAGCATTTCATATAATACTGGTTTGGTGGTGATGAACTCCTTTAGCTTTTTCTTATCTGTGAAGCTCTTTATCTGACCTTCAATTCTGAATAATAGCTTTGCTGGATAAAGTAATCTTGGTTGTAGGTTCTTGGCATTCATCACTTTGAATATTTCTTGCCACTCCCTTCTGGCCTGCAAAGTTTCTGTTGAGAAATCAGCTGACAGTCATATGGGTACTCCCTTGTAGGTAACTGACTTTCTTTCTCTTGCTGCTTTTAAGATTCTCTCTTTATCTTTTGCTCTTGGCATTTTAATAATGATGTGTCTTGGTGTGGTCCTCTCTGGATTCCTCTTATTTGGGGTTCTCTGTACTTCCTGGAGTTGTAAGTCTATTTCTTTCACCAAGTAGGGGAAGTTTTCTGTCATTATTCCTTCAAATAGGTTTTCAATATCTTGCTCTCTCTCTTCTTCTGGCACCCCTATAATTCGCATGTTGGTACGCTTGAAGCTGTCCCAGAGGCTCCTTATACTATCTTCGTATTTTTGGATTCTTTTTTCATTTTGCTTTTCCGTTTCGGTGTTTTTTGCTTGTTGGTATTTCAAATCTTTGACTTAATTCTTCCCATCCTCTAGTCTGCTGTTGGGAGTCTGTATAATATTCTTTATTTCAGTCAGTGTATGCTTAATTTCTAGTTGGTCCTTTATCACAACCTCGAGGGTCTCATTAGATTTCTTGTAGATCTCATTAAGTTTATCAGCAGTTTCTAGAAAATTCTTGAAAAACCTTAAAAGTGTGGTTTTGAACTCTATACCCAGTAGTTTTCTTTCCTCCATTTCTGTCATTTGTGTCCTTTTTCTTTGTATCCGCATTTTTTATGCTTCCCTGTGTTGATAAAGTGGTTTTCTGTGCTGAGTGTCCTCTAGGGCCCAGTGGTTCAGCCTCCCCAATTACCTGAGGAGGACACTCTTGGTGCACCCCCTTGTGGTCTTTGTGCACAGTCTTGTTGTAGTTAAGCCTTGATTGCTGTAGTTATCACTGGGAGGAATTGACCTCCAGGCCAATTGGCTGTGAGAATCAGCTGTGTCTGCAGTGGGAGAACTTCTGTGCTGGAGACACCCATCTGGGGCAAGACTTGCTTCAGTGGGGCTTTGGTGCTCACTGAGTCTGCCCCCTGAGTGTGTCCTTTATGTTTCCACGGAGCTGCAAACTGGATGGTCCCACTCTGACCTCTGGGTTTCCTGGCTCCTGGATCTCTAGGGAGGTGCTAATCTAGCCTCTGCCTTAGGCTATCCAGCAAAAGCCTCCCTGCAGGGCTTGGGCGGGGTGGGTCCCACGGGATCAACAGGGCAGGGCTAGCAGTTATGGCTGCTCTCAAAGGCTCTGCTTCTCAATGTCCTGGTAATCGCTGCAAGTCCCTCCGAGAGAAAGCTGCCCTCGAGTTCCGACCGATGCCAGACAGTCCCGCTTCTCCCATATGAGTCTGGGTCCCCAGAGACTCGCCCGGAACTGGAGCTCAGAGCCTGAGACTCCCTCCCAATTGAAAACGACAACCCCGCCCTCAGCCGCCAGCCCGCTCCATGTGCGCCTCTGTACCTTAGTATTTTACTTCTGCACTGTGCCTCCTCTGAGTCTCGGTATGCTTTTCTTTTTCCTTCTAGTTGTAGAATTTCCACTCAGCCAGCCTTCCTGTGGTTCTGGATGATGTCCGTTCTGTCTTTTAGTTGTATTTTTGAAGTGGTTGTTTGAGGCAGCAAACTCCAGAGTTTACCTATGCTGCCATCTTGGTTTCTCCCCCCCAGAATCTATTTTATAAGCTTTCAAGGAACCCTAGTCAAGGTATCTTGAACCTTCAATCCATCGATTTTCCTCTACCCAAATGATTAGACACTGAGTAAAGACTGTTCTATAAACTGAAAAAAAAAGTTCTGAGATAGCTAACAACATGAATGTATACACTAAATTGTAGGCAACATGCAAGTCTCCTCTGATTGTGCCAAAGGAAATCTTCAATCACTGGAGAAAAAATAGAATAAAATAATACTCCAGGCACCTGCAGGAGACTTTACTTTCCTAAATTGATGCTGTGGTGGAAGACGACACCATGATGAAGTCTCTTATACATTTAATTCTATATCCAAAATATTAAAATTTGGAAATATTTTAAAAACAGGCTCTTATAAAATTTTGCCTGAAAAAAATTCATACACTAATGCAGTACAACTGCTCAAAATTGTTTAATTAAATATATAAACTATTGTGTTGACATTTATTGAGCTTTAGCTATAGGGGTTGAGAAGAAGGACTACTAACTGGTAATGGCTTTAATTAAAGATCAATCTTACTTGCTTCAGCTTTCACTTTGTCCATTTCAGCCAGCAATGCCACTTCTCGGTCCATTAAACTAAGAACGGATGACAAAGGGGGAAAAAAGGTTTGATCAGAAATTCGAAACAGAGAAATTGCACATTGTAATAGTGGAGAAAGACTTACAGAGTTTGTTCACTAAAAGCATACTACAAAGTAAATACTGTATGAACCATAAGGAAATTGTGTTACCCTCAGTAAAGAATATTTTAAGGATTCTATGAAAAAGAATTAATTCCCTTTTATTTCTATGTATTACAGCACACCAGTAGATGGCAGTAGCAAGCTATCAAACATTTCTTGGTAAATTGTGCTAAAAGCAAAAAGTCCTTATGGAAATTACATATTTCCATATATGTGCTCACATATTTTGGTCCATGAGTTGGACAGCTTTGGTTCTAATGCATTTGCCAGGCAGCATCCTTGCTAGGCATGGTAAATTTATCCATGATTAGGGTTTGTACACCTTCAACATTTTGCCACAGTTGCACTCGTCTCTACTGGCACTTTAATCTTTAGAATGAAGGGTAGTCACATGTGTGCAGGTTTCTGATAAACATTTACTAGTAATCCAGGAAATATGGAATTAAGTTTTCTGGTAGTCTTTTTACAGAAAAAGAACATTAAATGGACAATTAGCACTTTCTCCATTGCAAATGTAATTGGCATGTATAGCTTTTCTATGTCCTTATAGAAGAGCTCAGATAGTAAGTAGGCTGTCCTAGTATTCCCTTACCATATCAACTTTGCTTAGTGGTGGGGAAAAAATACTAGAAATTTTAATATCTACACAACCATGAAATGTTCCAACTTTCTTCAAATTTGGAAATCAGAATGATTTCTCCTTATGAACGGGAATGAAAGGATCAATAAAAGTTCTACTCTTGTTTCTTGTTGTAAAACCAAACACACACACACACACACACACACACACTAATTCAATTTAGCTCAGCATGTAGTTATGTTAGCACAAAGTAGTTAATAAGGAGACTACAGTATGAAATATACAAAAAAGTTATAAGGCAGGGACTTTTCCTCAAAGAGCAAAATCCTTTATAGTAATGTGCCAGGAACACAGGTTTGATAATCATATGCATGATGTTAATAAATAGACTTGTAATGGAACAAATGTGGTTGGCATATTAATCCAAAAGCACCAGACTGGAGAAAAGATATAACTATTGTGGGGTAGCAATACTTTGTTAGGAAAGCATTTCCCAAACCTTGGCAATATTTTGCTCCAAGAACTCTAGCAGCATTTGGAATACCTAAAAGGCAAAACAAAAGCACAACTGAGACAGGAGCTGCCGGGCCTGGAGTTTAACATTACTTCTCTCTGTCACTAAATCATCATAAGATGCAGACACCATGTCCACCAAATGACAAATTTATCTCTGACAAAGCTTGTAAACTATTTATTAAAAGACTTCAGCAAACACTGTAGCCAGTTTGGCTCAGAAGATAGAGTGTTGGCCTGGGACAGAAGGGTCCACAGTTCAATTCCAGTCAAGGGCACATGCCCGGGTTGTGGGCTCAATTCCCAGCTGGGGGTGTGCAGGAGGCAGCCAGTCCATGATTCTCTTTCATCAATGTTTCTATCTCTCTCTCCCTCTCCCTTCCTCTCTGAAATCAATAAAAATATATTAGGGGGAAAAAAGATTTCAGAAAACAAGTTAGCTTTTTGTGATTTATGTAATTATGTTAATATTCATAATAATCTTTAAAAAATACATTATTTTGTTTATTTCAGAGAGGAAGGGAGAGGGAGGGAAACATCAATGATGAGAGAAAATCATTGATTGCCTCCTGCATGCCCCCTACTGGGTATCGGGCCCACTACCCAGGCATGTGCCTTTGACCAGAATCGAACCGGTACCCATCAGTTTGCAGGCCGACACTCTATCCTCTGAGCCAAACTGGCTAGGGCTCATAATAATCTTGATTAAGAAAAGTTGCCCTAACCGGTTTGGCTCAGTGAATAGAACATTGGCCTGTGGACTGAAGGATCCCTGGTTCGATTCCGGTCAAGGGCATGTGCCTTGGTTGCGGGCACATCCCCAGTTGGGGGCTGTGCAGGAGGCAGCTGATCGATGTTTCTCTCTCATCGATGTTTCTGACTCTCTATCCCTCTCCCTTCCTCTCTGTAAAAAATCAATAAAATATATTTTAAAAAAAGAAAAGAAAAGTAGACTATGCCAGGCAGGCGTGGCTCAGTGGTTGAGCGTTGACCTATGAATCAGGAAGTCTTGGTTCCATTCTGGGTCAGGGCACGTGCCCAGATTGCAGGCTCAATCCCCAATAGGGGCCGTGCAGGAGGCAGCTGATCCATGATTCTCTCTCACCATTGATGTTTCTATCTCTCTCTCCCTTTCCCTTCCTCTCTGAAATCAATAAAAAATATATTTAAAAAAAGAAGACTGGCCCTAACCGTTTGGCTCAGTGGATACAGCGTCGGCCTGCGGACTCAAGGGTCCCAGGTTCAATTCCGGTCAAGGGCATGTACCTGGGTTGCGGGCACATCCCCAGTAGGAGATGTGCAGGAGGCAGCTGATCAATGTTTCTTTCTCATTGATGTTTCTAACTCTCCCTCTCTCTTCCTCTCTGTAAAAAATCAATAAAATATATTAAAAAAAAAAAAAGAAGCCCTGACCAGTTTGGCTCAGCAGATAGAGTGTCAGCCTGTGGACTGAAGGGTCCCAGGTTCGATTCCGGTCAAGGGCATGTACCTGGGTTGTGGGCACATTCCCCGTAGGGGGCGTGCAAGAGGCAGCTGAATCAATGTTTCTCTCTCATCGATGTTTCTAACTCTGTATCCCTCTCCCTCTCCCTTCCTCTCTGTAAAAAATCAATAAAATATATTTTAAAAAAAAGAAAAGAAAAAAAAAGACGACTTTAACATGACCTTGCTTTTAGCAAGGAAAAATAATAATCTGCACTATCACAATCAGACTGTTTTGTGGTATTTATGAGCTAGTATTTTGCAATGGTACTTTTATTTCCCCCTGAGAAAAAGCATCCATTTAAATAAACTTTGTTGCTTGATTGACTCATTGCCAATAATAAAAAATTTATAGGGCAGCATATGAACAACCATACAAGCACTCCATTAAAAAAATTAGTTTAACCCGGCTGGTGTGGCTCAGTGGTTGACCATCGACCCATGAACCAAGAGGTTACTGGTTCAATTCCGGTCAAGGTACATGCTGGGATTGCAGGCTCAATCCCCAGTAGGGGACATTCAAGAGGCAGGATGATGCTGTTACTCTCTCATCAATGTTTCTATCTCTCTATACCTCTTCCTTTTTCCTCTCTCTTTAAAAATTAATAAAAACATTAAAAAAAAATTCTAGCCCTGGCCTGGTGGCTCAGTTGGTTAGAGTATTATCCTGTACACCAAAAAGTCACGGGTTCGATTCCCAGTCAGGGCACATACCTAGGTTGCAGGTTCAGTCTCCAATTGGGGCGCATACAAGAGGCAACCAATCAATTTTTCTCTCTCTCTTGAATCAATAAACATATCCACAGGTGAGGATTAAAAATATTAATTTGCATTTTTATGCCAAAAAATGTTGACAAGGAATAAGTACTTCTATTTTTTTTCCATGTTGCCATCTTTTTTTTATTTTAACTCCCACCCGAGGATATTTTTCTACTGATTTTTATTTACTTATTAGAGGCCTGGTGCACAAATTCGTGCACATTGAAAGGAAATTAATTAGAATATTTTAATATCGCTATTCGCCCTTTCTCTATACTAGAACTGTCAACCAAATTCATGGTGGACAATGACAGACTGAAACACATGCGTGCGATTGGCATCGAGAGCTTTATATGTATCTGCATGTGTGAGTCAACTTAGCCTTTTATATATATACTAGAGGCCTGGTGCACAAAAATTTGTGCACTCGGGGGGGGGGTATCCCTCATCCCCTCAGGGGATGTCCACCTGCTGGCTTAGGCCCGCTCCCTGGGAGACTGGGCCTAAGCTGGCAGTCAGACATCCCTCTGGCAGCCCGGGAGCCCTCAGGGGATGTCCACTTGTCAGCGGGGAACAGGCCTAAGCTGCAGTTGGACATCCTTAGCGCTGCTGAGGAGACGGGAGAGGCTCCCGTCACCACCGCCGTGCTGGCAGCCATCAGCCTGGCTTGTGGCTGAGCAGAGCTCCCCGCTGTGGGAGCGCACTGACAACCAGGGGGCAGCTCCCGCATTGAGCGTCTGCCTTCTGGTGGTCAGTGTGTGTCATAGTGACCAGTCATTCCCAGTCTTTCTGCTGTTAGGGTCAATTTGCATATTACCCTTTTATTATATAGGATAGAGGCCTGGTGCAAGGGTGGGGGCCAGCTGGTTTGCCCTGAAGGGTGTCCCAGATCAGGGTGAGGGTCCCCCTGGGGTGCCTGGCCAGCCTGGGTGAGGGGCTGATGGCTGTTTGCAGGCTGGTCAAGGCCCTCGAGGGGCCCCTCAACCCATGGGGGTGTGGCCAGCCTGGGTGAGGGGCTGATGGCCATTTTCAGGCTGGCCACGCCCCCCCAGTGACCCAAGCTCCCAGCCTCTCCTTTTTTTTCTTTTTTCTTTTTCAGCAACTCCTTGAGCTGAGGCCAGGGCGGGCTGGAAGCAAGTATCTGGGATTTATTTATCTTCTATAATTGAAACTTTGTAACCTTGAGTGGAGCCCAGGGCCGACCAGGGCAGGCGGGAAGCTTGGCTTCCTCCATTGCTGGGGGCAACCCAAGCCTCCTGCTCACTCCAGCTCGGTGGCCGCCGCCATCTTAGTTGGGTTAATTTGCATACTCACTCCTGATTGGCTGGTGGGCATGGCTTGTGGGTGTAGCGGAGTGGCAGAGTGATGGTTAATTTGCATCTTTCTCTTTTATTAGTGTAGATAGAATAAACTTGCTTAATTAGACCTACTTTCTGATTTAGCTAAACTTTTTCCAGCCCAGTGAAGCACCTCAACTTCTCTTTCAGGTAATTGACAGCAACACAGCAGTAAATATCAACATGAAGCAGATTATTATTATAGGTCATGCAGGGAGAACA